AAGGCAGGCTCTTAACAACATTAAAATATGCCATTATCTACATTTCGCCAGGTCTGGGACTATGTGACTTCTGGCTCTTCCTCATAATAAAAATTACCATGAAAGGTACATGTTTTGAGTTGACGCAGGACATTCAGGCAATGTTGACAACACAACTAGCCACATAAGAAAGTACTTCCAGAACCAATTTAGAAAGTAGTAAAAATATCGGGATAAGTATGTTGGGAGCAAGGGGGAATATTTTGAGAGGAAATAATGCAATGTGTGTTTACTATTATAACTGTTTAAACACTCACCTTACATTTTTATCCAACCTCATATTTAAGCAGGTATCATGAGACATACAAACTTAAAGATTAACATATAAATGAAGTATGCATTACTAACATCTAGACTGTATCTACGAAAATAAAATTCAAACAATTGCAGAATGCATGATTTGATAAAATATTCAATAGAAAATACTGTTAATTTCAAGTTGGTATTTTAAGGTTTTTTGAATGCATTCAGTTACTGTTAGGAAAATATTTAAAACATAAAGAAAATAATCTGCTTTCATAGAAACCCTACAGAAAGCTAGTCATCTTGAATTTCAAATTTGCTACTGTTTTTATTATCATAATTTAAAACAAGTAGTTCTGGTTCTACTTTATAAAATAGAACAAGAACAAGTAGTTCTACTTCATTGCCATAGAGTAATAAAAGATATTACTAAAATTAGTAAACTTTATCACCACAAACCCATAAACCTGGAAAATAAAGTTCTATTTTAATACCATAAAAAATTTTGTTTTTATTATGCTAAACAAGAAAAATGTTATAGTATATAGTTATTTTCTTTTCTTTGCAATTGATAATTTACGTAGGCAAGAATTTTCCTCACCCGTACTATTTGTATGAATGAAACTGAAACAAAGTATTTACTAAATCATGATTTTCAAAGGCTGAATGAATTTCAATACTGTGAAATAATTGTTTCTCAGTTGTTTCTCTGTATTCCTTACCCACACCTCTTTGTAAAAGTTTTTCTAGTTCCTAATGATCTAAAAGTTAATGAAAATACAAAACAACTTACCAAACCCTTACACACATATACACACAAACATTTATAGTAATTTGGTTCAGTCTAATTAATAGTCATAAACATAGTTCTTCATTCTATGAAGCCAAAACATTCTTTATTCCAGAATATAGGTCATATCAATTATTGTTTTGCAATTTTTAAAGAAAATTATTAATAAGTATCTTACCAGATCGTACCCAGCACATCAAACATAGAAAAATATATATTCTCATTTGGAATCTGAAAAAGTAAAAGAGTACTCAAATTCACCAGAAAAGAAATTCTGTAATTCATTAAGGTTTCTCTTTGATAGAATTGTCACAGTCTAGTAGGTTACAGGTTATACTGTAAAAGTGACTTTTGCTCCTCCCTCTTTTTTGAAAAAGATGAGGTAGTTTGTTTTCTCCCATTTGATTTATGGTTTTGAGGAAGATCTTTAAAGTCAAAACCTCTATAGAATGTCACAACATTTCAGCTACACAAGCTGATTTTAAGGGAATGAAAAAGCTAATTATATATTTCTGTATTCCTTTTAACCTCAGTATTTCAGAAGTGGTCTGGAAGAATATGTCTGTGGAAAAAATGTGTTGTTAGAAAATTCCAGAAATGGAAAGAAGCAAAAAAAAAATGTGGTTTATGCTCATTTTGATTACAAAATAAGTTCTCCTTATATACCACAATCAGTAATGTAATTCATACCCATGAAACTGTCAAATGTAATTACAGACTTTTCATGTGTATGTAATCTACATCCAAAACACAGAGGCTATTTTTAAAATTTGAAATTCTAGTGTCTCTCTTGAGGCTAAATTTTGAAAATAAAAAGTTCTTTTTTGCTTTTATATGACAACCATTTAAAAATATTTTAGGTTTTATTTTTACATGTTTGTTTTTCTCCCAGCAATGGACTGTATAGTAATTATAGCAAATTAATAATGTTTGTTGAGAAGGGGAGTTATTTTTTATCAGAACATAGTTGGCATAACCTTTTATTTAATTTACCAATGTGTCAAAAATCTTATTCATCTTGACCTTTCACTCAGTAGTTAAGCATCCAACAGACTTTCCCACAGAAACCCAAAGTCCTTGCATGTCATAATGGTTCACATGGACACAAACATATCCAAATAAGAATGTTCATTAGCTTAGCCAAAAAGGAAAACATATATAAGTAACAATGAGAGATTGATTTAATTATATACATAGTATGGGTAAAAATTAATGCAGATAGATAAGTATCAATAGTTATAGAAAACCTACAAGTTTAGAGGTGAAAGGACAACCTGAAAATGGTATCTATAATACAGTTTCTAAATTGCATTACATTATACATGCACAAGTCAAAATCCAGAAGGTTTTCCTCTGAAATGATTCTCTCTACATGCTTGTTTATTGGTAAATTTTACATTTTTATTACTTTAAATTTTTAAAATATTGCTCTACAACAAACTCATCTGCAACTCATGCAAAAAGAAATGCTAAAATTACTTTGGGGAAATATGGTTAGAAAAATCAGAAAAAAAATAAAATGAGGTATTAAAAAGTGCCAGGTGTGGTGTTGCACACCTGTAATCCTAGCACTCTGACAGGCTGAGGCAGAAGATCAAAAGTTTGATTGCAGTTTTGGTAACTTAGTGACTTAGCAGGACTCTGTCTCAAAAGGAAAAGAAAATGAAAGAAAAAGAAAGAGAAAGAAAGAAAGAAAGAAAGAAAGAAAGAAAGAAAGAAAGAAAGAAAGAAAGAAAAAGGAAAGAAAGAAAAAAGAAAGAAAGAAAGAAAGAAAGAAAGAAAGAAAGAAAGAAAGAAAGAAAGAAAGAAAGAAAAGATGGAAGGAAGGAAGAAAGAAGGAGAGAGAAAGGAGGGAGGGAAGGAGAGGGGTTGGGAGGAAAAAAGAGAAAAGAAAAGAGAGTTGTGATATATAGCTCAGTGAAGGCCCTGTGTTCAACCCCAGTACTGAGGAAAAAAACAGTGAAAGTAAAATGAAGAATTTTTTTTAAAAAAAGATACATTGATCTGAACATTGATTCATCTTAACACTTATTTTCCAAGTTTCTCTATGCACTCACTCATTTGTTTATTCATGTATTCAACTCTTATTAACTACCTGCTTACTTCCAGGCATAGTATTAGCTCTTGGGGATACAAAGTAGAGCTGTTCATTTATTCAAACTATTATTTCATGCATTTCTTATACATACAGGTATTTATTGTATGTACACACATGTATCAGGAATTGTCCTAGCACTGAAATATGTTTACCCAATCTTAATTTACAATAAGAAGATCTAGACTGCAGAGTTTAGGATATCCTTGCAAATATACTGCCCAGGCTGAAATACGAAAGACAGCAAGAGTCATCTAGGTAAAGAAGCAGGAAGAGGATGCTCTAGTTATACATGTGATCATATATATGTCAATGTTTTTATTTTATAAATTTATATAGGAGATATAAGACATCTTAATGTGAAGTAAGGTTATATTTCAAAGAGTACTTCATGCAGTTGACCCAGTGAACACTTACATATGCGCCAGTAAATGCTGAGGATTATTTTTAGCTGTTGCTAGATTTATTAATATGCATGCATTCAATATGAATCAGGAAATACAGTACATTTACATTAGAAAATGATCTATTGAGGTCTATTTGGAACAAACAGCTAAATAAATCGCTGAATCTGAATTTATAGCATTGAACAAGTATTCTAGAATTGAAAGCAACATAAACATATAAAGAGACAACACAAAAATCATGCACATTTTTGGACAATGAATAGTGTAAATTTCTATGTATCAGTATAATGTGATCACTATTTGAAAGTAAACATTTACATCATGCGGAATTTTACATTAAAAAATTATTATTATTATTATTATTTTTTACAATGAAACCTGAAGATACAGCTCCCAGACAAGCAATGCCTGAGGGAAGGTTAAAGATGAAATATGTTGGCTTGGATAGGACTTATGAAATAAATAAACACAAATATATCAAAACTTCTGCACACAAGACAGGCTTCCACTTATCCATTCACTTGGTCAACATATAGTGTTTATTTGTTTACAGTGCATCGTTTTTTTTCTAGCTTTTTCATATCTTACAAGAAATTTTGCTTTACCTTTTCTCCATAATTTTTTTAAGTGATAGAGGTAAGAAGGAAAAACAGGAAATACGATTTAAAGACTAATGAATATCAAGTGAAGAGAACTGCTAATGTTCCTCATACTTATATTGTATTTGTAAGAAGTCTGTTTCTCCCACAACACAGACTTCTATATTTACTTCTGTTTCCTAAGGACTAAAGACTGCCTAAGACGAAGCAGTCAGAAAATACTTAGTACATTACATTCATTATATTTAGTCCAACCCGTTCCTTAAGAAACAACCTGACCGAGTTCTTTGTTCAAAGCCATAAAATATGTTAGCGTTAAATGAAAATTAGTATTTCCTAAAATATGCTTTTCTTTATAAAATAAGATTTTTTTCTAATCTATCAACACCAAGTAAAAACACTCTGTTCAGTTCCACATTGATCCCGACCACTACACCAGCCCAGAGATCAAGCGCTTCTCCACTGATGCTTTCAGGGTCCCATGTCGGCATTTTCCAAGGCTTCCTCGTTACAGGCCGTTTTCTCAAGTTCCCCAAAACCCACCTAAAATTTCTGTTGTCATTTTCAAGGACTTTCGCTGGGAGAACTTTCTGAGTAAATAAGCCATAATTTCAGAGCCCCATGGTATCAACTTTCGCAGCCCACCGCCTTCGGTTCGATCGGGGGCGGAGCCACGGTGCGGTGGGCGGTTCCCGCTGGGCGCCGGTAGGCGTGGTCGCGAGGCACCGCCCCGCCCCGGCGCGCGCTCCCGGCGCTGGCTCCGCCCCTTCTCCCAGCGGCGCTGTAAAGCAGGGCAGGAGAGTGGGCGGGAGCTGGGGGCCACATCCATCCTGAGACCCAGACGGAGGGATGTTCCCTACTCAGGAGGAGGCCGACAGGACGGTGTTTGTGGGGAATTTAGAGGCCCGAGTGCGGGAAGAGATTCTTTACGAGCTGTTCCTTCAGGTACCGTCCGCGGAGCAGGGGCAGCGGGAGGTCCCAGCGCCGCGCGAGAACGGGGAGCACCTGAGCGCCGGAGCCGGCCCCGCCCCTCCCCGCCTGCGCACGCGCCAGGGTTGTCGTGAGCTCGGGGCTAGGGGCAGCTGGGGTGGAGCTCGGGTCGTGGTCCTTTCCCCCTCCTCCCCCTCCTTCCTCTCCTGCCTTCATTCCCCCTCCTCCCCTCCTCTTCCCAATCCTCACCTCCACTCCGTTCTCTCCCTCCAGCTCTACCCTGACCACCCCCTTCCCCTTTCGCAGAGTCCAGGGAGTGCGCAAAAACGGGGCTCCCCCATTCCCGGCCCTGGGTAGGGGCTTCGCAGAAGCTGCCTGGACCCCACGTCCTGGAGCAGGATAGAAAACAGCTCTGTCACTGTCTGCAGGTGATAAGAACCCTGTCCTACAGCCTGCAAAATGCGAGCTGTGGCTTTCTCAATGTCTGCACAGGTCCACACAGACTCACTCCCCTCAGCTCTTTCACCCGGAGAGTAGCTTCATTTGAGCCTGATGAGTGAGATGTGAGGTGCTGGTGCAGCCGTTTACCCGGACTTGATCAACTGATTGCGTGGCCAAGGCCACTTTCGTTTCGTTCCAAAACGACCTTGGCAAACTTTCTGAGGCCTGGTACCTCCAGGATTAAGTGAGCCGTGCCCCGAAGCACTCACTTCTGTATATGCCTAGGTCTCCCCTGTCAAAGCAATTCTGTATTTAACCACCCAGTCACCACCTAATGATCCAGAATTAGCAAACTCTAAGGAAGGTGCTGAACACACAAATTTAAGACATACCCCTTGGACCATTTTAAAGGGGATATTTAAAATTAATACCATGATTTAGCAGATTCTGCAGCACAGAGGGCCGCCTAGTATAGGAAAATGACTGAAAGTGCTATTCGGAGTCAGCAATGTGATTTGGGGTCAGTAATGAAAAGCACAGCGCCTCAGTTTCCTCAAACGTCAAGTGGGAATAATAATACTAACTACAGTGTAATGTGATTGTGAAGAATAAATGGGTAAAAAAAAAACTACAGATGGCAAATACGAAATGCTGCTACTGCTAATAAATAGCACTACTCCTATTAGTGATAGTGCTGCTAAGGGGAGAGAAAGAGTGACTTCCACCTAACAGAAGAAGAGAAAGTTCCAAGGGAGACAGTATCAAGCTAAATTTCCAGTATTATGTATGAGCACCAGAGGGATTTTTTTAAAATTTGCTTTTGAAAGGACCTACCTTTATCCCTACAGTAGCCCCACAATTATAGATAACACACACTTCAGGGAAGAGGCCTCGTTTCAGGAACAGTTTTCTTTCCTAGGCCAAAAAAAAAATTTTAAGATTTTTATGTCTTTCCTTATAATTTACTCTTAAATTTAGCCTTTAAAAAATAAACTCTTGCTTTTTTAACATACTGGTATTTCAGTCTTACAATGAGAGAGACAAAATATAAACTTACAGTTATCTTTCTCCAGCTTTCTTGTGTTCTGAGCCTCTAAAAAAGAGAGAGCGTGGAGATGGTGGTTGGGTAGCAATAACTCATACACACATGTGATTTGCAGTCAGGAAGGATGGAGTTTATATCCATGTGTGGAACCACGTGGCAATACATATTATCTTACCTTTTCCTGATTTCCTTTTTCCACCAAAACAAAATGTAAATCTCATTTAATAGACTAGGCACTAAGTTCTTTTTTTTTATTTTTGGCTTGTAAGAGTTTACTAAAATCAGTGTCTTTTCTTTCAGTGTTTGTAGTAGTAATATGTGCTTGCAGTACATAGTGATCTTTAAAAGACTTAAAATGAGCAATACCCCGCAAAACTTGATAGCTTCCACAAATGTGTTTCATTCTGGATTAAAAAGATTATGATTGTTGCTATAAGCAAATTTTCTCTTTGTATTTTATCTTTAAAAATGCCTTGCCATATGTAAATTTGTTTTTTAAAGTTCAATTTAAGCACATTTTGTTTTTATGCTTCCATATACTTAGTATCAGTAGTGGAAAAGTAAAAATTGTAGAACATATGCAATTTTTAATATTAAGGTATACATATTTACCATTATCTTTCAAAATTCTGACTGTCCTTCCAAGTGAGAAAATCAGTTTCATTATTATTGTACTTCTAATCAAGAAACACTAGAATAGAGATATCTGAGAAAAAAGTAATAACTTCAATTTTAAATATATTGAATTTGGAATACAGTCACACAAAGATTTTTAGTCTCATGGGTGGGAAAAACTGATTTATTGATGAGGTCACCCTTGAAGTTAAAGTGAGGATCAACTAGTTCTTCCTATGCCATAGAGAATGAAAAAAGAAAGACTGAATCTTAAGATATCAACATCATTAATATATTTATTTAACTCCTCACAGAAAAATAATCATTAAGATATAAACCATTTGCCACTGAATCAGCTTTGTGTAAATCTGTAAGTTCCTCCTGTAATGGTTATCATGCAAGTGATGCAATTTTTTTCATTGTATTTGTATATAATATCTGTCACTGCTTTTTTACTTTATTTGGTAATGGGAATTGAACTCCTGTCCACTTGCTTCCAGACAGGCACCCTGCCACTGAGCTATGTCCCCAACCTCTGCTTTCTTACTTTTAATTACTTACTATAGGTATTTTCCTCAGTACAGTCTGGATGTTTGTAATTTATGGTTTTACTTATTCCATTTTTATACTGCACCATAAAATTATATCTCTAGTTGTTAGATTTAGAGCCTTTCTAATTTTTCACTTTTAAGAATAATGTACCTACTTAAAGGTCTTAATATTAATCTTAAAACATTCTTCCTTCTGGAATATTTACCAGGTGGAATTTCCATATCAAAATATATGATAAATTTAGTTTTCTATTGTGAAGAGTTGTTCATCTTCTTGACAGAAAAAATTCAGTTATGATGTAATTTTGCCATCTTTTTCAGAGTAACTCAGCCAACATTGAATACTGCATTTTATTTTTGAGTTAAATGGAGATTGTTAAGTTGAGGATTGATGACATGAAATACATGTATGGAAATATCAAAATGAAATTTGCCATCTGTATAATTAACATGGGCTACTAATTGCAATTTTTCAAAAATGCAATGAGACAGAGTAATTTAGGCTTAAATGCTTTGAAAGTTGATCTGTGAAACCCAAGAGGAATATAATATTTTTACTTTTTTAGTACATGGAACTATTGCCTAGAATTTCCTTGTCCGTAAATGTTTTGATAAGCCAAAAAGTATGAAATATGAGGAATTATGATATTAATTATTAAGAAGAAGTGAAGAGATTGTTTTTAGTCATCAAAGTTGAATTTACTTGACTTCTGTCAGTGTACAAAAATCTTTAGATTTATGACAAAATAATTTTTAAGTTTCTTACAGGCTGGGCCTCTAACCAAAGTGACTCTGTGCAAGGACAGGGAAGGGAAGCCAAAGTCCTTTGGATTTGTCTGCTTTAAACACCCTGAATCGGTGTCCTATGCTATAGCTTTGCTGAATGGAATTCGTTTATATGGAAGACCAATTAATGTACAGTATCGATTTGGTAGGTTTTCTCACTCACAAATTTTTAAAGTGTTCTTGGTGATTGCTGCTATTTTCAGAGGTGTAAGCATTTTATTTTCTGTACAGTATAAGATAATAGAAAGTGCCTCTGTCTTTTTCTCAGAACCTATGTCTAATGTATAATGTTATATAATTTAGCATTGCCAATTACATTGCCCAAGCTATAGTATCTCTTTTATATTAAAATGTAAATTGTTCTGTTTTATGATCAGTAAGAAAATAGTTATGATGATTGCTGTTAACTCACACATTGAACAAATCTATATGAATTGGATATCTATGACCCTTGCTTGTATGTAACAAGGCTGTTTGCTGATCTTTTTGTTACAGTTAACATATGGTGGTAAATATCTACAATTTGGAAGATGGATGAGCACATTTGTCCTGGACAAACTATCTTATACATATGGCCAGATATTGAGGTTAAGCCCCTGTAAGAGCAGAGTGACCATGGGTAGCTGCCAAGTGACCCTTTATTAATGGTGGAGGAGACCTTCCCGACATGAATGGCCTCAAACACCTGTCCTTCACACAAGTCAGGAACTAGTCCCCTAGATAGCTAAAGAACCCTATGCTTCTACTCTCAGCCTTCCAGGTTTCAGGACATTGATAGAGCCTGGGCAATCATTACAAAACTTAAGTTGCCTCCCACAAATAGTTCAGGCTTATCGGTGTATCACTTAGTTGCTCTACTAAAAACAAACAAGTAGGAATAATGAAAACAACATTTTCTTTTAAAAGAAAAGTTCCCTTTGAACTTCACTCATTTGTAATGCACAGTTGCATTATGGTCTTTGGTACTGCCTATTTACCTCACAACAACTGAACGGAGCATGCTGTAATCAGACACATCCTGTGTTAAGTTAAAACAGGTCTTTGTAGAGTTTAGAAAAATCACATCTTCTGCACTAGAGACAGATGACACTCATTATTTGCCATTTGTAGTTTATAGGTGTGTAGAACAAAAAGATAAGATATATCTTATACATTACAGTGTCATTGCAACTCAGATATGTGGCCATTACTTCTTGATTAGACAAAGCTTGATTAGAACTCGTTCTGGGTAAGGCATTGGCCTCCTAGAATTCATTCACTTACAGTGATACAATATGTAAATATGTCTTGAAAGATAAAGTAGGTGTGCATATATTACATATGAGCGAGAAACACTAAGTCAGTAGTTTGTCCTAAAAGATTTTAGGTTATTTATGGTTTTATGTTAGTACTCCAACTCAAAATATCATGAAGTAATCAATATTCTGTTCTTTTAAAGGGAGTTCTCGCTCTTCTGAACCAGCTAACCAAAGTTTTGAGACCTATGTAAAGATAAATTCACACAGCTACAGGTAATTAAATATATATTTCTCATAAAGGTAACAGAAATAAATGGTTGTATGATATATATTAAAGGCAGATAGTAAATATAGGAAATATTTGCCAAAAGGAGTTTTGTTATATTCAGGAATATTGTAAAACCTTACTACTTAATCATAGTACAAAATTAAAAAGTCGATTTTCCCCAACTCTGTGCAAAGTGACAGAAAATGTTTTCATTTAAAGTTCAGGCTTAACAATGCCAGTCGAGATTTATGGTAGAGATTTATGCATATAGTGCTCTTTATGGTGTTTGCTTTCCATAAGTGTTCAATCATTTTAAACATACAAGGTCTTTCTGTGATAAAGTATAGACATAACTATGATCCTTGTTTTATCTTTTGGTAAATACAGACACAAAAGCTAAGAAATTCTCAAGGTCCCAAAGATAATAGTGTGTTAGCGTTGAAACTAACCCTACGAACATTAAGCCATTTCATTACTTACTTTACTATCTTATGACTTCTTTCTGTCAATTTTTCAAAGTATTCTAGAATTTTGTGTAGACTAACAGTTGATGCAGTGGTAGCCTTAAAGGATACTCTCTGATAAGCTATCGCAGAGGTCATGGAACAGAAAGGACTCAATCTAAATTAACATGCCCACATTACATTGTGTATTAAATGAATTTAAGATGCAGTGAGAAGCAGGAATAAAGACATTGGATACATTTGCATCCTTAGAGTAGGACAAAATGAGAAAATGATCAAGTGACTTAGTTCTGGTTACACTACTATGCACAGACCTTATTTCTCCCTGTTGTCAGCCTTCCCTGCCTATAGCATGGCCATTATGACCAGACGGAAGATTTAAGCAAAGATATCCATGCAGACTTTCTGGGGCCAGCATTACTTACCTAGCCTCTCAAAGAAACATGGGAAATCCACATGGCTACACAGAGAGCTTGCTAGTTTGTCCACTATATACTCTCAAGTTTAATCTGAGTTTCTTAGGTAGAGAAAAAGCACAACTTTTAGCCTAGATTAAGGGTTATGCGTATCTCCCTTTGGTACATCTTACAAAACCCTAAATTAGTCACTATGCATATCTAACATAGATTATGCATTCTGCCTTGGTCTCACAAGTTCTTTGCTTATTCTGTCCCTAACACAGTTTCATCAATATTCGTAAACTACTGCCTTGCATACCATCTACGTTCAAGATTTATGTGTTTCATTCCTCGTGTTTGTTTTCTTGTCTTCTGTTGCAGAATAAAATGTTCTCAACAAAACTAATAAAAGATGAGGCTCCTATCTCATTAATTTTATCAGTCCTGTGAGGAGTCAGAGTGTGGCTTCTTGGGACTGGCAGATCCCGGGCTTATCTCTGGAAGTATTACACCTCAAATGAAGCACAGAGTGTTCCACTTCTTTTTTCTCCCCCACATTTCTACATGAGAGAAATCAGAAGATTTCTCTAATGGAAGATAATTTAGGTAGTAAAATCCAATTGCCTGAATTTGAATCTTGCCTCTGCCTGTTAGTTAATGCTATGAACCACTAGTAAGTTATTTCATCACTCTATGGCCTGTCTCTAAAATGAAACTAATAGCTGGAAAAGTTATTGTTGACATTAAAATTTTATAATGAATGGAAGCACTTTAAAAACTAGCATATAGTAAGTATTCAGCAGGTCTTAGCCAAAAGGGATAGAATTTATCACTTTATTGAGGAAACAGTATAGACTTATGGAGCAAGCCATATACTGTATATAGTATAAGATCAGTCCCCCTTCTTTTAGTTCCAAATAGGAAATGATCTCTCAATATTCTCAAGTATAGGAAGGGACAAGAAATAATAAGATTTCACCAGAGGAAAAAAAAACTCGATAGGCACTAGAAGACTTCAGGAAAACTTTTGTATTCTCTGCTTACAATTTGATACAGAATTTCTAAAGAAACACAGATTCTAGATAGAAGATCAAAATTATGTGTGTATCCCCTGACACCGCATTTCATTAACAGTACTTTATTCATACACTATTTATGATATTATAAAAGAAACATGAGAGGAGGTTATCATGTCCTAGAAGTGTACAAAGAAATGGTCCATTTAATCTCCTGGTCCTTGACTATTCATTCTTGTAAATTATTTTTTTTATTCCCTTCCATACCTTCTTTTAAAGAATAGTTCCTGTATTTATTTGCCAAGACTGCCATAACATAATACAAAAAGCAGAGTGCTTAAACAGCGGAAGTTTGTGGTCTCATAGTTTTGGAGGCAAATGTCCAAGAACAAGTAGTCAGCGGGATAGGAATCTTTGTAAACTTTGAGGAAGAATCTGTTCCATGGTTTGATAGCAGTGTTTGATAGTCCTTAGAAATGTTTGCCATTCATTGGATTGCAGAAACATTACCCAGATTTTGTATTTCCATGAGGTGGTGTTCTCCTGTGTGCGTCTGTCTCTAGATCTTTCGTTTTGTGTGGAAGATAGCATATTGACGTATGTACCTACCTGATTAAAGGGAGACCATTTGATAACCTACATCTCTGTGCAGTTTGCTGCTCTGTGACGACTGTTACATGTCTAATTCTTTTCTTAATGACGTTCACTCTTCCCTTGGCTTCTATGATGCTAGTCTTAATAGTTAGGGATGGAGTATCGTCCTTTCCATGTGACTGTATGCTGTCATTCTTCTTACTCCATCATTCTCTCTACCTATTTGTACTGATTTTACCCTTCCCTGCACTATGCTTCCTGTCCTAGGGTTGAGTAGTATTATAAGATTATTAAAAAAATATCCACAGGATCTAGCCTGTATTCATAGTATCTCCATAACAGCCAATACTACACATATAAATGAAAATTTGAGACACTGTAGTTTTTAAATGAGAAACTTTTAATGATCTTAATTAATATGTGGAAGGCATCAGTAAGAGTGTTTATGTTAACCTCACCAATCTGTTTAGGAAAAAGCATAATTCCTATAGTTAAATAATAAAGTTACCTTTAAAAATCAGTGAAAATTTCTAATTTTTAAAAATGTTATAACTTTAGAAAATTGAAATGTACTATTAGTAATTATTAACAATTTATTTTTGTTCTGTCATTATCTAAGTGTGTCTGACTTTATACAAATAGAACATTGTCTAACATTTTCCTGTCAGAAAGCTGAATGTATTGAGAAGATATAGGAAATTAATGAATGTATTGTGACATCACTACACTATGTATCAGTGCATCAGCTGATTATTTGTATGCATGTTTAAGGTAATAACCAAGCTACACTAAATGCTATCAAAGAAGTTCATTCTTTTTCTCTAATTATGAAAAACTGTCAATTTTTTAAGACAAAAGGACATTTGTTTCTAGAAATTTCAAGATTGTTTCCTTCTTGTTTTATTTCTCCAAAGGAATGAAGAAATGGTGGGCAGATCTCCCGTTCCCATGCAGTTTTTTCCAATTAATAATACTGCTTTACCTCAAGAATATGTTTTCTTTCAGAAGATGGTAAGTTTAATGTTCCTTCAGTTCAGGATATAATGTGGTAGCAAGCATGGAGGGCATCAAAAGTAGGTCATCGTAAATCCTCTCATAGCTCTGCAAACAGTCATTGTGTAAACAGAAGAAGGGTAATGGTAAAGTTGATACAGGTGTCCCAGTGAAATATGAGTAGCGTGTTTTTCATATAAATGACTATTTTAAAAGATACTTTTAGAATTGGACAATTTCATTTAGTATAAAAAGAAATTTTTATTTAATGTCAATCACAAATACTTAGCTTTTGTACATGGATAATTTAAATATAGATTTCTTTTTTATCTTAATTCAAAACTGTATAAAGGCTGCTATGTAGTAAACTATATTATTTCCAAAAGCTCTCAAAATTGGCTGTAGCTTAGAAATCTTAATTATAGTGTTCTTTGTTAGAAACAGTTATTTCCTTTTAAATTCTCATTTCATAGATGAGAAAATTTATGTTCAAGAGATACAAAAGATATTCAGAAATACAAAAAGCTGGGGGCATTCAGAAATACAAAAAGCTGGGGTCTGGGGGTTTAGCCCAGCGGCACAGTGCCTGCCTGGCAAGCACAAGGTTGTGAGTTCGATTCCCAGGACTGGAAAAAAAAAAAAAAAGAAAAAAGAAATACAAAAAGCCAAAGGTTATAAAACTTTTTAGTGGTAGATATGGAACTAACACAGGTCTGATTTAGAGGGTGTTACTTTTGTGTGTACATATATATGTATACATATATACTTGTATATACATATGTGTATGCATATATGTATATATACATACATGAAATGATTTTTCAAATAACTTTCCAGTTGGTAAAGCAGAAATGAATTTTTCTGTAAAATAATGTTTTGGAATAACTTTTTAAAAAGTATAGTAAGGTATAAATGAACAACCAACTAAGACGATCAATGTCTTCTTCCCAGAATTTTTTTTTTTTTTTTTTTTTTTTTTTTTTTTTCTGGTACCAGGAACCAAACTCATGACCTTGCGCTTGCCAGGCAGGCGCTTTGCCGCTGAGCTAAATCCCCAGCTCCTAATTTTGTTTGTTTGTTTTGGTTTTTTGGTTTTTCTCCAGTATCGGGAACCGAACTCACGACCTTGCGCTTGCCAGGCAAGCGCTTTTGCCGCTGAGCTAAATCCCCAGCCCCTTCCCAGAATTTTTGTCTTTTGGAAGGTTGAGGTGATTTGAGAGACAAGATTTGGTTACCATTTTAATATTTAATCTGCTCTGAATAGTGAAAAATTTAAGAACTTTATTTGAAAAGGAAATATCCCTACAATTGATAACTATGCTATAGTATGTAGGAGCCATTCTGTAAGTATATACCTAGGAAGCTTTTGGCTTTATTTAATTTTAAATTTAAATTTAAAAAATAGACTTAATTTGGTCATTGCAGAGTTTATGTATATTTGAAACAACTTGGTTTAAATATTTTTTCCCTTGTAAATTTTATGTAATTAAATTCTGGTCAAATATTTTCAAAGAAAATTTCTCAATCCAAATTGAGATATGCTGTAACCATAAAAATTACATCATATTTTGAAGACCTCCTATGATGGTAAAAGTAGAATATCTCCATAATTCGTATATTGGTAATAATAAAACAGTAATATTTTAGATATGTTGTGAAAAGTAAATTCATTATTATTTAATTTTTACCTTTTATATTGTGGCTACTACAACATTTAAAAGTAAATTTGGTATACATTTTATTTCCACTAGAAAGTGCGTATCTAGATTGTAGTAACGTACACATTACCTGTTGAAATATTTATGTTAACCATTTAAGGTTACCCCTACAGACTATGATTACAAGTCAGTGTTTTTCTTACATGAAAATATAGTTTGGTTTACCCATGGCTATTTGCACGATGTGTGTGAGCTATTAACTTTCTCAGTCAATGAATGTCTTGTTTTCACAGCAGTGGCATGCATATAATCCAGCACTGCAGCTTCCTTACTACGAGATGACAGCTCCACTTCCAAATAATGCATCTGGCTCTGCCACCCTAAATCATGCTCCAGATCCAGAGGCTGGACCCAGCTCTTATGAATGGACCCATCAACAACCAAGTGATTCTGACCTTTATCAGATGAATAAGAGAAAGAGACAAAGGCAAACCAGTGATAGTGATAGCAGCACAGAAAGCAACAGAGGAAATGAATATAACCAAAAATTCCGAAAATACAAGAAAAAGAAAAGATATTGATACTGTCATCAAATGGCATTTGTCTATACTGGTCTTAGTTCTCTTTAAAAGAAAATCTGTATTTTACCAAATGATGAATTTCTTCATTGTCTTGTCTTCTTTGAAAAATATAACAAAAGATTTACCTACTTAGCTATTTAATTTTAACCTTGAATAACAAAGGTTTTTTTAAAATAATGGCCTACCTTTTGTACTTGTCTTGTAATTTTTGACCAGTGGTTGATGTGCAATACACTTTGTCATTTTATTTTAGTGCTGCTGATGAAATTTTACCAAGTTATTAATGAAAAGTCACCTACTGAACATTTATGAATTAGATACCATTCTGTCCCTAAATTGTCACTGTAACCTTCTACAAATAACCTTCTACAATAATAAATAACCAGCCACAAATAAGATGGGATTGGAAGTGGAGCAGTAGATTTGCTGAAAGAACTAATGCAAATATTTAAAAGTTGCTTGTTGTGCCTGATGGATATGTAATAAGCAAGCCTTATTTCTCTTGGTTACTAACATTTTATTTTTGTGCCTAATATGTTATTTCTGAGCCTTACTCTCCTTCAGGTTTATTTTATAGCATAAGAACATATGACAGTGACAGTGATACCAAAGGAAAAATATTACCGCAGGACAAGATTTTGAGTCTTTCCCTTTCTGTCCGATTTAAATAGGGAGACCTGCCTTTTTAGTTCTCATTTATTAATTGTTCAACCTGAAAATTAGTTAGCTATGTTAATATTTATTACCTACCTCATTTGCCAGGATGGTTTGAGAGAATATATTTAAATCTTGATAATGAATGAGTAAATAGAAAGATGTTGCATTAATATACAGTATACATTTGAGGCTCATTTATTTTAGAACATAAACAGGTTACATGTAAAATAGATGGTTTATTTGGAAATTCTTGTTATTTTATAGTTCATCACAAATTGGAATGATGAAAAACACATATTTATTAAAACTAATTTAAAAAAAAAATCATGCAATTCCTTTGGGAGTTAACCAGTGAATTCAGTAGGAAAAGCCATGTTTGAACTTTTGAGGTACATGTTAGAGCACTTTATAAGTATTTACTATTTAAAAGAATAAATACATGTTTTAACCAAAATAGTAACTACATTTCACTTTTGTTTATACATATATAATATAGTGGGGCTTAAAATGTAAATATTAGTTTATATACATCCAATCCGTATAAAAACTAGATTTTGCTCTATATAACTTTGTCTTCATATACTTGAATATTCAAACTGGAAAATAATTTTTATTTATGAATTTACATTTTTGAAGTTTAGAATCATGCTGAAAGGAAAGATGTGACCCTATGTAATAAGAAAATAGCATTTCTTTAAAAACAAAACTTGCTTCATTTCACTCTTTAATACTATAAATATAGCTTATACTTACTTTATTATGATTGTTACTGTAGCAAGTGTGTATATAAGAATGTTTCTTCACAACTAAGAATGGTATATGTTTAAAATAATTACATTGAAAAAACAATAAATAAATTAAAATATTGGAATGGCAAAAAATTCTCATAGCATAATATCACAAAACCCAGTATCTTGTAATATCCCAAAAAGGAAATAACTTTCATGTCAACCTTAGTAAGTCACCCAACTCAAACCAGACAAAATGCTCTGTTGTGTCTTTTATTCTTAAAAAATGTGAAATTCCCCTTAAATTATTATTTACCACTATCATATAAAATTTCAAATTATCAATTTTTCCAATGCCATATGTGTGAGAATCATTAAAATGTCTTTCCTGAGGGTTTTATTTTCCAAGTTTAATCTCCCACTCTTAAAAGTCTGTTTTTAAGCACGTATGTGCATATTTTTTTCAAATGCTAGAGAAATCTCAGGATCAGAGAACAAAATTTAGAGATTTTGCATAGTCTCATATTTGCCGGATTATTTCTTATAAATGAATTTCTGTAATGCATCAAGCAGTGGCCAAATTACCTAGAATTCAAGTTAGATAGATTTGAATGGCAATCACACCCTTGAAATCTGCTGAAATAGTGTGTACACTAAACTATGATTTTACATGTATAGCTGTTTAGCCAAGACTGTCACCTTTGAAATCTTTATGTTGTGATTTCATCACGATCATTTTTGCAAATGATTATAAGAAAGAACTCATTCTTTGTAACGTGACAATTATAAAATTTTGATGAGTTAGTTTTCGCTTACCTGCTTGGAGCATTATGAAGGAAAAGAAGGATTATACTTTCTTTTGCACTGTTCAGGTGCACAGACATAGACTCCCCCTCTCCCTTGAATGGCTGTGTCCTAATAAATCAGTGGGAGAGACTGGGAAACAAGACGTCTCTCACAACAACGTGTCCTAAAAGTTTTTTCACCTGTCTACTAAACATACACACTCGAGTGTCTCATTACCACTGAAAGTGCAACATTTTCCATTTTTACTCTGTTTCTCCCCGTATGTTTCCTTCTTTACCAGAGTTGCCCTGTGTTGCACTTACTCAGCAGTTACTGAAAGATTACAATGGCAACCTTCCTTCAGTGACTTGCCATGCTCAGGGTATAAGATGTCCCACAAAACTCCCAAGGTTAGGGCTCCCCGCTCCCCGTGGCACTGTTGGGAGGTGTAGAAGCTTTAGGAGGTGGGGTCTAGTTGAAGAAAGGTCATTGAGGGTGTGCCTTAAAGGGAATATTGGGCCCTGAACCCTTCCTCTCTCTTTCCTGGCTGCCATGAGGTGGGTAGATTTCTCCACCATAGTCTTCTACCATGATGGAGTAAAGTGACCATAGACTGAAACCCTGAAATTATTGGCAAAATAAATTTTTCTTGCTTTAGGTAGATTTATTTCTCACATTTTACCACAGCAGTGGAAAGCTAGCTAATAGTGGCTTGCACATGATTGCTTCATTCCTACTGTGACCTTAGGTCAAAATGAAGCATTCTTGCTGTCAGACACATAAAGAAATTAAAGTAAGTCCATCTCTTGGCTTATGAGTGGAAGGAAAAGATACAACAGTTACTCAGCTCTCCGTCAATTTAAATATTTAAGGGCTGGGTATACTTTCTTTCACGGTGGACATGTTTAGTATGGTGTAAATTTGCCATTCCTGAAGGATTGGCTGTGTGGTTCCCCACCTCTTCTGGCCTAGGAGGCCTGAATGGGTAATGTCCCGTATAATATCATTAGAAAGAACTGAAGGAACACCAGTTACAACTGTTCTGGTCAGCAGTCAGAGCTCAGGCTCTGCATAACATCCACATTTAACCTCTAAATTTGTTATATTTCTAGGTATTAAACTGAGAACCTCAAACTCACTAGGCATGAGCTCTACCACTGAGCTACATCTCTCTCTCCCTGCTTCCCTCCTCTCTCTCTGTCTCTCTGTCTCTCTGTCTCTCTCTGTCTCTGTGTGTGTATCTCTGTTTTTGCCTCTGTGTGCGTGTGTGTGTTTTGTCTTGTTTTGTTTTTTAAGATAGCATCTCGCTAAATTGCCCAGACTTGCCTATAACTTGCAATACGGTTTGCCCTAGCCTCCTCAGTAGCTGATTAGAGACATAAAATACCATGCACAGCTTTTTTCTTAATGCTTTATTATTTCAATCAGATGTAGGGAGAAAGAGGAGGTAAAACTGCTTGGTTTCAATATGTTAGGTTTAAAAAGAAATTCTATTTATTGATTTAAAATTTCTTTTTGGCCGGGGATATAGCTCAGTGGCACAGCACCTGCTTGGCAAGCACAAGGTCGTGAGTTCAATTCCTAGGACAAAAAAAATTCTAATTTATTTTTATTAGTGCATATTTTCAGTACATAATGGTTACATTTATCATGGGGAGTTAGGACAGATGCATGGTACATCTTAATTCCTTTTCTGTCCTACCCCACCCCTTTCTGCCTGCTCCTTCGGACTCTTGTTCCTCTTCCCATTTGCAAAAGCTCTTTACCTGTTTCTTGTTCAGTTTTTTCCATCCCCTTCTCTCCTCCCTCCATCTCTTGTTCCCATCCATTTGAAAAAAAAAAAAAAACTGTAGGATGTACCTGAAGAACATAAGAGTAACTGAAATAAGTCAAATACACAAATATCACATGATTTCTACTAAAGGTTTAATGATTTTTACAATCCTTTTTCTCTTAAAAAAATTAACTCTTTGTTATAGAGGTTTCAAGTAATTTTCTACTTTATTTTTATTTTCTTCCCAGAGCAAGAAAGTTTAATTTTCATATCTTTAATAGCTAGTCAAACTTATATCCATCTGTCTTCTTTATGGTTTCTAGGAGGGTTTTTAAATTTGTTTATCATGATTTTAAAAGCCTTCAGGAAAAAAATCATGTGTTTTGTTTCTTTTGTAGTACTGGGGATTGAACCCCGAGACTTCACAATGAGCTACATCTTCAGCTTTTCTTTAATTTTTACTTACTTTTTTTTTATTTTGAGATAAGATCTTGCTAAGTTACTAAGTTCCCCAGGCTGCGATCAAACTTACAGTCCTTTCTGGGGTGAGATGTAATCTCAGCGTTGATTTAATTTGCATTTTTTGAATGACCAATGAAGTTGAACATGTTTTCATATATTTATTCACCATTTGTATTTCTTCATCTCAGAAGTTTGTTTTCATCTCAGATGCCCATTTCCGGATTGAGTCTTTGAATTTTGGGGTGTGATGTTTTCTAATTCTTTGTATGTTCTAGATTGAAGTCCTTTGAGGAACTTTTGCCTAAAATTTTATTCCAATTCGTGGGTTTTCTTTTCACTCTATTGATGATGTCTTTTGATGTGCAAAATCTTCTTAATAAGTTGAGACCCTAGTTGTTGATTCTTTGAAGTATTTCCCATGCAGTTTGGTTTTTTGTTCATGAAATCTCTGCCTACCCCTATGTCTTCAAGATTTCTACCTACTTTCTCTTCCAGTAGATTTAGTTTTCTGTTTTAATATTTAGATCTTAAATCTTATGCTACTGATAACCCCAAGAAAAACAGGTAAGTAAGCCTCTAAAAAAAAAATAAATTGTCAGTTTACCAGAAGCATCACTCCAAAAGGGGATTAGGTACCCACTCTTGACAAGGAGCTAGGTTAAATGAAGATGTTAAATGAACATACACGTTTTTACACTTGGGAGGGTAAAACCCAAGGCTCAATATCCTATAATACAAGTGACTTCTGCAATCCCATCCCACTGGATGGAGTACTGAAGCTTCCTCTGTGCTCAAGGTCTTCAGATTCCACTCAACACTGGTCTGAATAACGACACACAAACCCACAAGTACAGCAGTGGGAGGATGGCAAACTACCTTCTCATCTGCTCACCAATGAAGTCTATCATTTAACCCACCTGTATGATGGTAAGAAATTTACCCTGAGTTGGTGATTCCAAAGTGACCCATGGTACAGGAGACTGATCTAT